AGAGAGAGAGAGAGAGAGAGAGAGAGAGAGAGAGAGAGAGAGAGAGAGAGAGAGTGCTTGGGACTGCATAACCTTTTACAGTCTATTAGGGGACTCTTCCTTATAGAAGACTAACTCTCTTTCCTCAGCAACCATTATTGTCATAACTCTTCATATGATAGGAAGGCCTCATCCATGTTGACATGTCCACTGGTGTGGTCATTGTATAAGTTGTGCTTAGGTGATCATAGTTTTTGAGATTTCATGGGTTCAGCTTCCCTGTCATACGTAGATGATACTGCCTCACAGCAGATTCCTGGCACTCTGGCTATTGCATCTTTCTGCCCTGTTCTCTAAGCCTTGGGTGCACAGATTTTGTTGTAGATGTAAACTGGGGTTGGACACCCTACAATATTCTCTGTGTTTTGACCAGTTGTTGTTTTCTGTAATAGTCTCTATTGCAAAAGTAGGCTTTGTTGTTGAGAGGTAAGACCTACACTCATTTTTGATATAAGAGTAAGTATTCAGAATGCGGTTAGGAAACTGGCAGTTACAGGTTCTCCTCTAGGTCCCACACCTCACCAGCCACAGGTTTAGAGAATCAGGCATGAATTCCCTCCTATTGAGTGGGCATTAAGTCCAATTAGGTAGTCATTGATTACTCCCAATATATAAGTGCCACTACTACACCCCTAGGGATATCTTGTTTTTCTTAGACTGCACAGGAATGTTACTTTTTCCCCAGGCAGCTTGTATAGAACCTTCAGATGTAGAAGTAATAGTCTTATTAAATAAGAAACACAGGGCCAAATGCAGAGTTAAAAGCCCAAGAGGTCAGAGCAGTAGCTAAGAGCTGAGACTAAAACCACCTTCTTATCACTTGCTGCCGCTGCCGTCCTTCCCCTGAGAAAGAGACCTACTTCCTGTGTGTTTGTCTTTTTATTGACTTTCAGTTCTGCCTTCTCATTGGTTGTAAACCCAACCACGTGACCTCCTCGTCACTGCCTGTCTATACAGACCTCCAGGTCTCTATGGTTGGTATTGAGATTAAAGGTGTGTGTTTCCAAGCTGGCTATGTCCTTGAACACACAAACTCTGACTGCCATGTGATCAGATTAAAGGTGTGTGCCACCACTGCCTGGCTTCTGCTATGGCTTGCTATTAGCTCTGACCCCCAGGCAACTTTATTTATTAACATACAAATAAAACCAAATTTCAGCACAAATAAAATATCACCATATTCAGATACTATAAGAGCTAGTCCTCAAAGAAGAGACTTTTAGGTCAGCTCTGTCCTCTACTCAGTATGTATGATATCTGCAGCAACAGGATCTTACATTCAAGTTCTAGGAGACAAGGAAGGACAAAGACAATAAATAGCCTATATTCAACTCCCTTGACCAGGAACTCAAAGAGAGGTTTCTCATGATCAACACTTGGATTCTTTTATACAGTCTAGGCTTTTGGTGGATATATTATCTCAAGTGGTATAATTTCATCATATATATCTTTCTAAATAAAATAAAGTCATGAAATACGTTTTCTTGTGGATTTTTTATAACTCCTTAGTGTTTCTGTGTTATTTGTTCCTCCTCACAGTATTCTCCCTTCCCAGTTTAAATGCCCCTTCCATTTTCTCTATCTCTCCTTCCTAGCACTGCTACCAAATACTCTTAATCTTGAGTACAACATTCTTTCCTAGGTTTGTTTTTTGTTCACTTCTGAAGATTACTTAAAATAACTATGCATTCTTGGTGGTATTTTTCAGAATATGTTTTACTTTACTGATCTTCAAAAGGGCACTCTGTTATATGAACCCACAGATTGTATTTGCCTTTCTGACTCTCTAAACTTTGCACCCCCTGCAGTAACCCTTGTTGAGAGTCATGAGGGCTGTCTCTCTCCACCACACCATGGCCTTTTCTTGTTTCCTTGATGGACCCTTTGCTAGTCCTGTCTTCTGAAAAAATTTTCACTACATAGGTGAGATTATTTTTCAGATTATTCCTATTACATACTTTTGTTACTGAACTGTAACTTCAAAGATGCAAGCAATGCAATTGGTGGGTTATTAACACATATAATTTCTTATATTTGGTTATAATAACATTAAAAAGTCTTAGAGACGTTTAAGGAAGTTTTTAATGGATTTATTTTGTTGCTATGTGTATAAGTGTATATTTAAGTAATATATTTGTTATTAAGAAAAATATAACTAAATTATTATTTAGAAATATAATCCATGAAACTGTAAAGGAAAATGTATGTAATATACATGAAAGATACATGTCATATCTAGATAAAAATCATGTCGATATACTGTAAGAATAACTTATAAATCATACATAGATGAGAGCTCAGGCCCCATGAATATATATATATATATATATATATATATATATAATCACCCATGAATATACATATATATAATCACCCATGACCATATATATATGTATATATATATATGTATATATACACAATCACCCATGAATATACATATATAATCACCCATGAATATATATGTATATATAGAGAGATGTATGTATATCACCCATTTCCCACTTCTAAGCTTCACATAGTGAGCTTATGAATGTCTAAAGTAATAAAACATTTAAAAAGAAAGAAGAAAAATGCATTTCAGGTTCTAATAGTGAGCATTTCAAGGAATCATGAAGAGGCCCTGAGTCATTTCCCTCAGCGATACTCCACTACAATGTTTTCTCTCATTTCTGGCTTCTCCATATACTGTAGTCACTTGGGAGATCATCCTTTAATAAATGTCTTAAATCTTATCTCTGTATTTCCCTCACATTCTGCACTTGCTCTCCGATTCTAATTCTCCGCACTCTTCCAGCATTTGTAGCTGTCCCTTTTACTGCACAATAAATGCCGGAGAAACAGCATAGGCATGGAATGGAGCCCAGAGCAGACATGGAAAGGAGCAGAAGATTTGCAGGGATGGGTAACAAAGGGATTCCAGAAAGGACCTGTGAAAAGGATGCCCCCCAAAGTATGTCTCTTCATGTTTTTTAGAAGACATTTATTTTTTGAGACAACTCTCTCTCTTTTTTTTTCCCCTTCTGGGTGCAGCAGTTTCTTATTCAATATCTCATTTGAAATTTGTTTAAAAGTACTATAATAATACCTATTAAATGAAATATAAGAAGAGGGGTTGAGAAAGTACATTGTAATTCAAATAAAAACACCCTGAATTTAAATAAGAAACAAATACATATGCATGCATATAGAGTTACATTAAGAAAACATGACATTTTAAAATTAATGTTACACTATGGATTGCAAAAATAAAGAATATATGAAAACTGGACTCCATTTTTATTATATAAAATTGAGCATTTTACACAGTGGATTTAGGAGTTTCATCTGTGAAAGAGAAATGAAGGGCAAGGTGTTAGGCTATATCACCCCTTGTATTATGTGGAAAACTTACTTAAAGAGATTTGTAATTTTTCAAACACAATATATATTTCCAAAAAATAAAATAAAATATTCCAATTGATTTATTAGGTACAGATTATCAAAAGCTAAAAAACAGTTTCTATAATTTTATTGTTTTACAACTCTTCCTTTTGATTATACCTTAAAATTCACAACTTTAAATATTTCAAATATATATAAAATCTTTGCTAATGCAAATGTATTTTCCCTGCCACAATAGCATTGTGTATGAACAAAAGGCTAAAAACAAAGACTTGGAAAATATTTTGTCGTTCTCTGAAATAGAGGGCATGCCTATGAAAGTTCTAGAAGGGTTTATTGTTCATTGTAAAAGACAGGTGAGCTATTATAGATTTTATATTCTCTTTATTTGTAAGTAAAGTGGGAAATAAAATCATGTGAATATAAGGAAATAGTTACCCAAAAAGAGAAATTAGCATATAAAATAAATTATGGTGATGGAAAAGGCTTACAAATAATGTAGCTAAAATCATAAAGTTATTTCCTTTCCTGAATACAAACTGTATAATGAAATTAAACTTTATATGGGACCAACCAAAATGATTTCTCATATGGAATTAATATGCAAGGCCACTGAAATGGAATAGCGAACTGTGACTTACTTGAAAAGTAGAAAATCAGTTCTTATAGAAAAATACTTTTTTTTCTGTTTTCAACCTATATTTTAACATTAACCTATCACAAATTTCTAGTTTATGTAAAACATTTCAAAAGCTCCCAAATCCAAGATAGAATAGGCACAAACAACAAGAAGCAGATGAATAACATAGAAGAGAGAGTCAAGAGACAGGCTGTTGCGGTACGCATTTCATTTATTTATGTGATCTGTGAGACCTAACCCAGCTAGAAAACCTCAGTTTTCTAAGAGCTGAAATAAATAAACTTATTTTTCATCTATATGTGCATTAATTTTGTGCTTATACTAAGCAAGCACACTACCACAGAACTGTAACTCTTCAATCTGAAACTTAGAATGCTGCTCACATGACTGAATGATATAAGTGGGGTACTTACCCATTATCATGCCATATCTGGCAAATAAAATTCAAAAGTAGTCAGGATCAGAAGTGAAATTTATAATACCTAAACTAAGCACAGCTAAATACAAAGAATCTTGCAGTTGACACATTTTATTACTTTTAAAATAAAAAATAACCCAAATCAAATATTATATTCTTTATAAAATTATACTTCTCATTTATTTAAGAATTCGATGTCATCTGTTTTAATTTACTTATTTTTGGGGAAAATTTTGCTTAAAAGAGCATATTCAATTGGATCCCTTGTTTTGTTATTGAAAATAGATTATTCTCTCATACAATACAATTTCCCCTCCCTCCATTGTTCCAAGCTCCCTGCCCCAAGTCCTCACTTCCCAGATCCACTCACCATCTGTCTCCTCTCAGAAAAAAGAAAGGCCTCAAGAGATGACTGCCAAACCCAACAAGACAAGATACAATAAAACAAGGCAAAAGCTCTCCTATTGGAAGCTGGACAAGTCAACCCAATAGGAGGAAATGAGTCCCAAGATCAGGGTAAAGAGTAGAGATCCACCTGTTTCCACTGTTAGGAGTCCCACAAAACACGAAGCTAATAACCATAATGTGTGTGCAGACCATCTGGTGCACACTTTGTTGGTCCTGTGCTTGTCACATCAGTCTCTGTGACCCACTAGGCTCATTCTATTGTATACACATGGAACAGTGATTTAAGAATTAGTATTGGTAATTTGAGTTCACTTTTACATGATCATCTTTGGCTTTTAAAAAATAATTAAAGGAATGGACCCATGTGGTTTTCCTGAAGCAGTATGTAAACAGATGAAAATCATAGCGCCTTAACAAACAGTGGCTTGCTTAGTCAGATAATAAACACTAGGCTTCAAATTATCCAACATTCTTATTTTGCAATGAGATAAAAATGTGAAGATATATGTTCATAAAACATAGGACATTTTCAAAAATTTGCTGCATTAGGCTCATTTAGTATACAGATGTGACAACTCTGTGGACAACATTGATATGCTCTAAATTTAGATAAAGATCTTCTGTGTACTATTCAGGGTTCTATAGAGAAACAAAACCAAGTGCACAAACACTCTGCAATTATGGGGGCCAAGAAGCTCCAAGAAAGAATTTTAAGTGGATCATGAGGGAAGAATTGGATATTTCAGACATATAAAAACCAGAAAATTTGCCAGAGCCTAAAGGCTTGAGTCCTGGTGGCTGAGGCCTCAAATTAAAGTTCTGATGTCCAAGGACAGGTTGTTTTTGAGGCCTTAACTGGATGATTGTCCAACCACAGTGGTGCATGTGATCCCGACTTGATTTATTGCTTCACATGCTAATCTCCATTGGAAATACCTTGCATACAAACCATGAAATGATGTCTTCCTGGCTCCTTCTATGCATCTCTTAGTGCACTCCGGTTTACAATTAAATTATCTTACCTTCTAGTATCTTCTGACATTGTGTTAAAATTATTTTCAGGTGGAGCCACGATAATCTTTTCAGACTTCTGTACACAGTAGCTGATATATTTGTTAAACTTTATAATAATTAGGAAAAGTGCATATCATGCTTGACTATTTTGTATTTAAAAATACAAATATGATATCCCAAGTATCGTAAGGAAAAAGAAGTCTCAATTAGAAGTAATTCTAAACCAAATTTAGATAATGAAGAATATTTTCCAGAAAGGCTGCTGGATTAAAGGAATTGATGATGGAGTCCAAGGGCCATAATTCCAGCCCTAGTGAACAGCAGAAGGAATATGCTATAAAGGAAGTGCATATATGGCAGGGCTATGCATGGTGGTGGCAAGACCGTCCTAAGCAAACACAGCCACTGCCAGAAAGGAGCTGTCCAATGTACTGGAGAATGGCTGGCCTTTCTCCCACTAACAAAGAGAATCCAGTAGGACAGGAGAAACCAGGATGCCACAAGTCCTCAAACTTTATCCCCAAGATTCTGAGTTCCTTGTGGATCTGGAGCTGGGAATGCAAAGAGAAGGATGAAGAATATTCAGCACAGCTAAGGAAAAAAAAGAAACATTATGTCAAAAACATGTACCTCTGAATTTCTTAGGGTATAACTTCATGTATACTTTGAGACTATAATAATAACAAATATAACCCTATGTGGTGATAATCTAATTGTACTGAATTATTATTTTGATTGTATGTTAATAAATAAAGTTGTCTGGGAGTCAGAGCTA